TAGCGTTTGGTGGTAATGGATGTGTAAGGTTGGTGGTGAGGAAGAGGTAAAATATTTTTTTTTTACGACATTGTCGACCTTTTATCATTGATTTATAGAAGAGGTTTTGGAAAGTGATGATAAAGAAATTTTAAATTCAAATAATTTATCATTATTACGGTCAATCCAAAAGTTTGCTAGCTGTCAACGCGCAATGAAAGAAAATCTTGTTCGAATAATAATTCATATTTCTCTATGACATAAATGAGATTATCATTAAAAGCGAAGAAACTTCGTTGTCTAAGAAAATGTACTTATGAGGTTAAGAAAAGTTGCGCCACAATGAGTTATTCAAAACTTACACAGAACTAATATTAATAAAACACTATAGTTGATATATAGGATTGGAAAAGGAAAAGACTAAAATCTCGTGTACACGAACATGTAGAAAATGAAAAACTCATAAGTAATGGTACATAAAGCCTCTAAAACTTTCGTTCACCACAAAAATGTCATATTCCAACGGAAAATCCTACAATAATATATTCCAATGGATATTCCAATGATAAAGCTTTCGTTGGAATAAGTTTTCCATTGGAACTTGGATGGAACTTTATAATTCCAACAACAATTTTTCCAACTGTTTCTAACATAGGAATTGCCGTTAGAATACACAATTTCTGTTGGAATTTTTATTTTCACCCGTATTTCAACCGTTGGAATCATAAAAATCCAACAGAAATTCTAATGGAAATCTTATATCAACAGAAGCTTTACTATTAGAATATCCATTGAAATATATTATTGTAGGATTTTTCATTGGAATATGACTTTTTTTTAGTGATTTTCCGTAGCGATTGACATGCGTAAGCATGAATTGAATTACAAAAATAAAAAAAAATAAAAAAATAGGATATTTGGTGGTTTGTGATTCAAAGAAAACCATTATACAATTATGAAATTTTTCCATATCTTTTTTTTTCAGCTGGCATGACGGGTTGGTAGGTTTTCCAACTCATCATCTCCACATTATAATGCCTTTATTTGTTTTTCAATTGTCACCTGTAAAACACGCACATAACTAGGGGAAATCCTATTGTTTCGTTACGGTACCATCCCGTCAAGTGTTTTAACCGTTAGATCATCTATCTTATATAACTATATGTGGATCAAACGGTTAAAACATCTGATGATATGGTACCGTAACGAGATCCTAGAATTTCCCCATAACTAATTATGTTATTTTAAATTAATGTCCACATTTTCACATCGATGCACCGCACGAGACGAGACCACACATACATGGAGATAATGCCATCGAGCCTGTAGAACTTTCCTAAAAATGATTAATCAAATTTATATAGAATAATTACGATTGTTTTTTTTTTTTTTTTGGTAGCATATATACAACAAATGGACATATATTCCCATCAATGATTAGCAGATACACCAAATTAATTATGATTGCACATGTAAGGGAATGAATGAATGGATATATAGATATATATATATATATATATTTTTTTTTTTTGGTAGTCAGTCATGGTATCCGGAGCATTGTCCCGGGTCGCACACCTAACAATGGTGGGTGGGTCTTCTAACAAGAGTCTTCTGCATTAACAAGGATTCGAATTCGAGACCTTGCTTAAGCGACATAAAACTGCTTACCAGTTGAACTAAGTAATGAATGTATATTTAAATACATGTACTTTGGTACCAAATGAACATATAATCAATCATTATCTGGATAAAATATTTTGATTAATTGTTGACTTTTTGATAATTGTTAACCCCCTCCCACGTCTACTTACAGTTGGCCGAAATAATATATGTTATAAAGTATAAACACGAAAAAGTCAATCCCAGATATTGTCTAGCTACTGCCCACACGGTCGAATTTATTATTATTATTATTATTATTATTATTATTATTATTATTATTATTATTATGTACAAATGGTTTTCCAATTGCAGAGTTTATTCTCAAAATTTGTATAATTCTAGCCTATCTACTCATCAACTAATTAACATATTGCTTATTTAGCTGAAGGTTGGAAAATTGTTTCCTATTTAAACCCAAAGCAAACTCTCTTCATTACCACAAACCCAAAACCAACCTATCAAACTTCACATTCATATGTGAAGTAAGAAAAAGAGCAATTTCATGGCTACTAATAATCCAACCACCTTCTCTTCATCATCTCTCCCTCTCCTTCTCACACTAATCCTTTTAATCCCGGTCGCGCTCGCCGCCCCTGGTGGCGGCAAGTGGGACCTCCTCCACTCAAACATCGGCGTCTCCGCCATGCACATGCAGCTTCTCAACAACGATCGTGTCATCATATTCGACCGTACGGATTTCGGAGCCTCCAACATTTCCCTTCCGAATAATCGGTGCCGCAACAATCCACGAGACCTAACCCTGAAGATCGACTGCACGGCCCACTCGGTTGAGTATGACGTCTCCTCCAACTCCATTCGTCCTCTATATGTTTTCACGGATGTATGGTGCTCTTCCGGTGGTGCAATGCCCGACGGCTCGTTAATGCAAACCGGAGGATTCAACGATGGCGAACGCAACGTGAGAGTTATCAAACCATGCTCGGATAATTCTTGTGATTGGCAAGAGTTCGATAGTGTACTTAGACAGAGGAGGTGGTATGCCACCAATCACATTTTGCCGGATGGAAGGCAAATAATCGTTGGTGGTCGTCGACAATTCACTTATGAATTCTACCCCAAAAGAGTCGGGGCCGACCAGTCGTATAATCTGCCATTCCTTTCGCAGACAAACGATCCAAGGTCAGAGAACAATTTGTACCCATTTGTTTTCTTGAATGTGGATGGTAATTTATTCATCTTCGCCAACAATCGAGCAATCTTGTTTGATTACGCAAATAGTGTGGTCGTGAAAAACTACCCGACCATTCCGGGTGGGGATCCGAGGAACTACCCGAGTTCGGGCTCGGCCGTTTTGCTTCCACTTAGGGTATTCGAAAGAGGTACTAATATTTCGGCTGAAGTTTTAGTGTGCGGTGGTGCACCGAGGGGATCTTTTACTAGTGCGAATAATGGAAGTTTCGTTACAGCACTAAATACTTGTGGGAGGATCAAAATAACCGATTCGAATCCACAATGGGTTGTGGAACGAATGCCATTGGCTCGAGTCATGGGTGATATGGTGTTACTACCAAATGGCAACGTCCTCATCGTTAATGGAGCTGCTTCGGGCACGTCCGGATGGGATTCGGGCCGCAACCCAGTATTAACACCCGTTATATACAGACCTAATAATCCATCGAGGTTAAGATTCGAAACTCAATACTCGAGTTCTAGACCTCGTATGTACCACTCAACCGCAGTTCTTGTTCGTGATGGGCGCGTCCTAGTCAGCGGAAGCAATCCCCATGCGTACTACAATTTTACGGGTGTGCGTTTCCCCACGGATGTAACGATGGAAGCGTTTTCACCGGATTATTTAGATAAACGGTTCGCACGCGTACGCCCTAGAATCATTTCTCCGGCTTCTCATTCTCAACTAGGATACAGACAACAACTCGTTATAACTTTTACCGCTCAAGCCAGATTAAACAATAATTTCATCACGGTAACAATGGTGGCGCCCCCGTTTTCGACACATTCGTTTTCCATGAACCAAAGACTATTGGTTCTTAACAATGGAAACAATAGTAGTGGCATTGTGACGTCTCTCGGCAGATCAAGTTATCGAATTCGGGTCACGACACCGGGTTCAAGTATTATTGCACCTCCCGGGTACTATCTTCTATTTGTGGTTTATAGGGAGGTTCCTAGCCGGGGCATTTGGGTTCAAATCAGTTAGTTATACCGATTGGAATTTGGAAACCTTCACTCATTTAAATTTGTTGCTTTTACGTACTAATCGTATATATGTTTTGTAATTGAACGTGTTAATAAAATTGGTGTTTGCCCATTGGTAGACTACTTTGAAATAGAGGGCCTAGATAATGGACGCGTGAATTCATGAAAATGCTAAACCTAAACTAATGATATTATCATATAATTAGGTAACAACTCTCAGCCCTTGTTTGTTTTGTAGGATTAGGCAGGATATCCCGCTCAATCCTGGCCTAATCCTATGTTTGGTTCACTGTATTAAGGCCCGCGGGATTGAGTTGGCCCGGTATAAAAAAATGAGTTATCCCATGAATTCAGGATAATTGAATCCCTCCTTTTACATGGGATTAATCTAATTCTGAGAAGCTAAAATCGAAATTACCCTCATTTTAATAGAATGCTTTAGGAAAAAAAAAAAAAAACCACAATTAGTCATTGACCAGTCGTTTCCCACCACAACATATTGTTGCCTATAAAATTTTACAATTAATTATATCCAATCTTTAGGAGAAAATGTAAAATTAATCATGGGCGTTTGTGGTGGGTCATGGGATAAAGACAAAATTAAAATTAAAAAATAATAATAACAATAATAAAAATAAAAACAAAAATTCATGGAAAAAAATCTTTTTCACCCATAACAAAGACAAATTAAGTTTTTCGAACCGCTCAATAAAAAGCTAAGTTTTTCACCTCAGGAAGTGCGAAGTTTATGCGAAAACTCTCGCATATTCATCGCATAACTGTCCATATGCGAAGGTTATGCAAAAAACTGTCGTATAGCTGTCGCATATCAATTGCATAACTTTCTGAAGGTATTGTGCGTTGAATATGTGACAGTTATGCAATTATGCGACAATTATGCGACAGTTTTTCGCATAACCTTCGCATACGGACAGTTATGCGATGAATACGCAACAATTTTCGCATAACCTTCGCACAATTATGCAATTGATATGCGACAGTTATGCGACAGTTTTTTGCATAACCTTCGCATATGGACAGTTATGCGATGAATATGCGACAATTTTCGCATAACCTTCGCACTTTTCGGGGTGAAAAACTTAGTTTTTTATTGGGCGGTGTGAAAACTTAACAAGATTTCAAAACGGGGTGAAAATAGATATTTTCACACAAATCATCAAGGTTGGTGATCTAGGTCATTTTTTGACCTTGGTCATAATCCGTGGAATGGAATGAGACACTTATCCAATTTTTATTGGTATAATGGTACTTTTTAGTATTAATTTATATTAAATAAAATATAAACATATTAAAATTTATATTTTTTTCATTCTCTATAAATAGAAACCACATTCGATAGGTTTTGGAACAAATTGTAATTTTTAAATAAAATAATTATTAAGGTTGAGTTGGGTTATGGATCGAGATAAATTAGGCTGTAAAAGTTAGATTGTATAGGTGGATGCAAGAGAATTTTTTTTTTTTTTTTTATTATTAGGTTGGGTTGAGTTAGATTATGAATAAAGATAGTCTTAGTATCATGATGATAGGCACTCGGAATGCCCTAGGACTGCTGACGCTGTCCTGCTGTGTCGATCTCATTTCGGGCAGTAGATCCATCAGGCCGATATCACTTTGACGTAAAAAGAGGCAATCATCTCACATCAGCTGTAACCACAGATGTGTAAAACTTCCGTTATTCATGTCGATCTAAGCTGATTCAATGTGAAAAGGGATTGTCGCCCAAAACTTGCTCGGTCGTCTAAAAAATTAGCCTCTTGCATGTAGCGGACGCCGTGAAAATCTGCCACATGCCCCGATAAAGTATTTTTATTGTTCTTATTCTATAAATAGTAATCTATTGGGGCTTAGAAGGACACAAACAATCAAGCCCTGTATAAAAATAATCAGTGTTGATCGAAAACACACATTATATCGATTTCCTTTAGTAGGCGTATGTAATAGGAGAATACGAAATGATCCACAATTATCAATAAATCTCGGTACAAGTGTATTAATGCAAGTTTCTAATTCGTCGACTAATTTTATTGTCGCAATCTTCTTTTCTATCTCTTTCAAATCAAAACCACAAATCTTAATATAGTATATAACCGCTTCGTCATCTTGTTGGCAAAATCGCTTGTTTTTCAAATATATATAATAAATTATTATTGGAAAATAATAATTTTTTTTTCAAGTTTATTTTGTAATATGAGTTGAAACGAATGAGTTATATGGGCGACGAATGTTATTTAAACTAAAATAGTAGTATATCGTTTAAAAAAATTATTACTATTATTTTTTTTTCAAAATGAGTATAAATTTTTAAAATAAATAAACGTGCATTGTACTAGTCTAGCAAATATCAATGTATTTTACCAGAACAATAGGTTGATCTACACCGTATCTGCTAAGGTCATTCGGACCATTTTACTAAAACCCAGAATGACAGTCAAACCTCAACTGACCTGGTATGAACGGGTTGAACCGGAGCATTGACCCAATCTAGTCAACATGTTTGACCTAACCATTATTTTTTTATTTTAAATATTTTCAACTTTTTATATATTTAAATATTAAAATAAAAATTATGTGTGTATATTTATGTAGTTTATTATTATTAAGATTTGAGTATAAAATTTAAAAGTAAAATATCTTTTGTTATTTTTATGTAAATTTATTATAAAACAAGTATTTATAATTATATATTCTAAAAATCAATTAATATATTGTTGTGGTGTTGTATTCATAACTAGTACGTAGCTCGTACGATGCACGGAAGAATAGTTATAAACTGCATGTACTAAACCCATAAAAGAATGTTGATTAATAGAACAATAGTTTTGAATATTAATATTATTTTTAAATTTATAATATATAATAATTTAATATATGATTTACATGTTTATTTCACTTGTTATAAAATATTTGTCATTTTAGATCATGTTTGGGTATAAAATTTTTTGGTACTGTTGAATTTTTTGATTTGGTTTGGTTAATTTTGAAAAAGGTGGTAAGATTGGTTGTTAATGAGTATATTAAAATAATATTTAAAATAAAATAATTAAAATTGATTCGATGTAAAAGTACGAGAGAGATGATTTGAAGCGATGGTTAGTTAAAATAAAATGAGTTGATGAATAGTGAATTAAGATTGATGTGATATGTATGAATAATGATATTATTTAATTATATTGATGATATCGATGATAGTGAGATTGAGTGAGTTAAAAAAATGATTGAGTTAAAAAATTGTAATCTTTTTTAAAATTTTCGTATGCAAACATACACTTAAAGTTATTGTTTATAAGAAAGAATAATAAAATTTAACATATCTAAACATTGTCAATCAACAATACTCACAAAATATATCCCCCCCCCCCCTCTCTCTCTTTCCTTAGTCATACCTTGTTACATTATATTAAGTCGATTTCTACATAATTTATGCTAAATTTGAAAAATTGTGTTAAATATTATAATCAACACTTAATTAAAAATATTGTAATGTATATTCCTCCTTATATATTAATTCAAAACGTGTTGAGCCTAAGTGGAAGATTCTCACGCTTTGTATGCTGATATGACGAAAATCTATGCTTCGTGATGTTGTTTTTATATTATTTTTGCTTTGGAGTTAGGTTTTGTATTAGACATAAATAACTTTACACATATATTCATTAACTCAACACCCATGTTGTACATGAGTATCACTACTAATTATTTTGAAGTTTAAAAGTTATAAATTTTCAGTTATGTCAATATTATTTTATTTTTTCTTATAACTAATAATAATGTATATTATAAATATATTGGCTGTGTTTGTTAAACAGCTTTTTGTTTAGCTTTTAGCGTTTTCACCTAGGTTTAGCGGTTTGACCAAAGCAAACAACTAAATATACTGTTTGGTAAAATGGCTTTTCCAAATAGCTTTTTTCAACAAACCGCCAAAATCCGAAACGCTGTAATATGCAGCGTTTCCGAATAGCTTTTTGGGGAAAATGTCCAACTTCTTTGCTTTTATTTTATAGCAGACACAAATTGGAAAGAAAAAAGAAATAAAATAATGATGGCTCACGTCACCACACACATTTACATTTATTTTAGACTCAAGAATCATTAGTTGTTTCTTATGCTACATAAAAAACAAAAAAAAAAGTTTGAAAATATATTTCAATAAATTATTAGAATAGTATTTGTTACTTGTGCGACTTACATGTATTATATTATAATAATTTTTTAACTTATAACATATAACTACATTAAACATGAATTTATTAATTGAAAAACACTTTTTTACAAACCGCTAATTTTACCAAACACTTTTTTACAAACCGCCAACACAATAAGCTGGTCAAAACAGCTAATACAATTCGCTGATCAAAACAGCTAATTCAATCCGCTAACAGCTAACAGTTAACAGTTGATTACCAAACAAGGTCATTAAATTTTATTTCTAATGTATTATATTTTATTTCTAATATATTAATTTTATTTCTTAGCCCGTGGATCTCGCCCGACTCGCTCCAGTCAGCCAACCCGCCTGCAACCTTAAACCCGGTGGGTCATCGCCTTTCCACAACTGCTCATAGGGCCATTTTCTCGTACAAACACCACAAAAATCACACTCAAAGTCTCAGGTGCCCGGTCACTCACGGCGGCCAGCACCAGCCGCCGCCCGTCCACTCCGCCGCCGATTTGTAAGTGCATTTCTCTTTTTCCCATATTTTATATTTTTGCGTTGTTCTGTCTTTTGAACTTTGAAGTGTTAGAACCTAGCGAATTCAGACTTCTGAGTTGTGGCTGTAGAGTTGCGGCAAAAACTTTCATCTTCGAACTCTATTTTTGGGAACTTTTTTTGGATGTGCAAAAAATCTTTCGATAATTAGCCCTCAGTTTGCCGAAATGTTGTGATTACAAGGAAAACCTCCTAAGTTCTGTATCAACCCCCTGCAAAGGGGATTTTATATGTGAATGCCAGCCGAAAATTAGGGTTCCATTCAATTACTGTGGTTTTTATGTTACACGATTTTGATCAAATGCATCAATGAGATTTTGGTAAACACACGTATGATTTTTTTGTGTACAGTTTTGGTTCCGCCGTTCCGGTAGTTCTTGTGTTTCGCCGGCATACTCTTTTTCACTAATATGTATACTTCTATTAGAAAGTGGCATACTTTAAAAACCCATCCTAAACAGTTGCGTTTTGGTTGGTCCATCA